GTTCAATATTTTCCATTTGCTGGCCGTTGAAAATCTCATCTGCCAGTGCCACTGCAAAGAACCTAATTAGGAAGAGGTTTTCGTCATTGCAATCTTTTGAGCGGACTATCAATAGTTTTCTGGGTTTTTAGTTCATTCCTGAAGTATGAACTTGCAAAAGGTGCACACTTTACACATTGCTGAAGGAGCAAGTAGAGCAGCAGACCTTACGGTACGAGCACCAGATAATAGAGTTTATGTGATATGAAGTTAATATTCCTCTTTTATTTTACTAAATTTATTTGATATAGTTTCCATTTTGATAGTTAAAATAATAATTGTATTTGATGTCACTTTTATTAATCCTTGGAAAGAGTTCACCATTCAAAGTTTAATTATGGATTGATAATTTTTCAAAGTACTAACATGATTTAAACATTTCATCTACAAGTCAAATAGCACTCTAAAGCATTTACGTAATAAATAAAACACGGATAAGTTTCCACGCTCCCCACAAACATGGATCCACATTTAGAAATAAAAATCAAATGAGAAACTTTTATAGTCATAACATTAAAAGTCTTATAGCTATACTAATGTTTGGCATGTTTAAGACTACAAGTTTGAAAAAAAAATTCTCTTAACTTTGTGTGAATCAAATTAGTTCATATAAATTGGAATGGAGGGAGTATATATTAGTTCCACCCCTGAAGTATGAACTTAGTACAGGAGTATACATTTTACTCAGTCTAGCTTGGAGAACTATGTATGAATCCCAACCAGCGGCATTTGAATTAAGAAATGAGTTTGAACTTTTTTAAACCAAACTAAAATTCACGCTAATTTGATAAGAGTTTCAGCTTTATTTCACTGCGATCCCGATTTGACATGAAGATACGATTCTTTCTGTGTAAGCCCATTGTCTTCATGTTGAAAGTTATAAAATTTCTCTACCTTATCTACAAATAAAAGATACTCTATAGTATTTGTATTTGATGTCATCTTTTCATTAACAATCGAAGACTTGTCGAAGTTGAATTATGAAATGACATACTAAAACAAAAAGAATGATATTCAGAGGCGGAGGTTCCCTTTCACTGAAATATAGTATGTAATTATGAGTTGATATAATTTTAAATAGGAATATTCAAAGCAGCAGCTTCGAGCCATAACAGCCTCAAGCAAAGTTGAGTCATTGACATATTATTTATTCCAAAAAGAAAAGGAGAAATGTTTTTGGTTGAGAAGCAAGTAATTAAGCTATGGAAATCACCGTGTAGACAAGCCAGATCAGAGTGTTTGGTGTATATGAAAAGATGTCAAGAAAGAGTTGTGGTGCATGCAACCAGATAGGCGGATCCAGGATTTGAGACTTATGGTTCCTATCGTAATTTCAAATTTCACCCGTATTCCATGCTCTAGGTCCGCCCCTGCATGCAACAGCAATGTTGTGCAGGACAAGGAGCTTGGCAAAGTGATACAGCTCAACGTAGGAATGTTTCAGGTACTTGTATTGCTCATTGCTCATGATATTGTCATTGGGTTTCTTTATGAGTTTTAACGGCCGTTTGTTTTCAGATAATAAAATTGGGCTTTCTTTATGTGTTAGAAGGAGCAAGTAATATGAAATTAAAAGTTAACGTAGTTTAAGAAAAATAATTTTGACTCACAAGTGAGAAGACATATTTTATCACCAGAAAATGACTTCTATCATACCATACGTGAATACTTTGCCAACACTTATTATTTGTCAGGAAAATTATTACCCGAAGTAGAGCATAAATAAAAAAAGATGAAACAGAACCATTCTGGAACAAGAAAATACCATCGCAATTTGAATTAAATCTCAAATCACACTTATTCAGTAGAGATGCGAGAACTAAGAAGGAGATAAATTGGTTGAAGAAAGCGCTAAAATAGTTGATCTAAGAAATGGAGAGCTGTTGCCGAAATAGGTCATTTTTCAATTGGATTTTTTTTAGAGACATCTAATGTTTACACCAAACTGAGTCAACTCACCGTTACATAATTTAATAAGGTAAAAATATGTGTTAATTTTCTATAGTTAAGTAATACACATGGTATGAATCAAACCACCACGTGCAGTCAGTGGCGAAACTAGGAATTTTTCCAAGGGTGTTTAAATTTAAAAGCAGTGAAAAAATTTCCCGATAAAGGATGTTTAGTGTAATTTTTCGACGAAGGGTGGTCAGTTGACTACCCTTGTGACCATGTGGCTTCGCCACTGTATGCAGTTTAGCTTTTACCCTCGTGACGGCTCTTCGTAATATGATTACTAGACTACTTGTAATAAATTTTCTGAGCTTACAGTTAATAAGAGATTTTTCTTTCACAAAAGAAGGAAAAAGAAAAACAAGAGATCTGTGTTCATGTCCATTGTAGTGTTTTATTTTAGGAAATTTTACACCCTATAGAAAACCTTAGTACCATATTTATCTTAAATAAATACCATTTTAAAATATTACATCCTATAAATACCTTTTATCCTTTATAGCAAAATATCTAATTATAGTTACATCCTACATTTAAGGCACCATATATGCTAAATAATATTTTTCTCTCTCCTTTTTAGTATTTTCTCTCACATAATCACCGTATAACTCCTCTAAACACGTTCTCTCTCTCTCTTTTACATACACTTTACTCTCTTCTCCCACATACCCACGTTTCTTAATTATTCTCCCACCCAAATTCACTATTTCTCGGCCATTATCAATCCTATATTCAGAATCTATACGGAATCACTGTTTTACTGCCGAAAATTATACGCCTGGTAAGTTTTCTTCTTCGATTTTAATACCATTATTTTGATTCTATAATTTTTATACCGATTTTTTATAAATTTCTGAAACAATAACCATTGGTATTGTTTTCTCACCAGGAAGCTTTGGTTTTTCTCTCCAATGATGGATTCAACGCCACACAACATGATAACCAGAGGTATACCCACCAAAATTCTCAATTTTGATGGGCCCTCTTTCTCGTTGCAAATAACTCAAGCGGAGTCAGATTTTGCAGGTTTATCAGCTTTAGTTATTTTTGTTTGCAACTGTTCAATTTTCCAGTAAGTTTTCAAATGTATTCATATGTATTCAGCTTACTTATTTTTTATGTCATGTGGGTGGTATCTAGTTTTTTAATATGTATTTAGCCTTGTCACTGTATTTAGTCTTCTGTAAGTGTTTGTAGTTGTATTGATATGTATTCAAAACTGATTTACTATGAAATATGCAATGTATTCAACTGTATTAACTGTATTCAACTGTATTAACATGTAGTTGTATTGATAGTTTTTTACTTGCATATATATTCAAGATACATGTATACAAATGCATAGGGACTAATAATCAGCTGCATACACTTGTATACAAATGCATACAGAAACTGCATACAGTTGAATACATCTATTGCATACAATTGTATTCATATGCATACATCAATATACAACATGCTGTTTCATTCAGCTGTATCCTGTTGTTTTATTCAGCTGTATTCAGTTGTATTTTGGTGTATTCAACTGTATTCAGCTATGGTCAGTTGAATTGAACTGTATTAACCACCTAGAGTCAGTTGTATTCAATTGCTATATTCAGTATTATTCAACATATGTATACATCTGTATTCAGGTAATTTCAATTAAATTTAACTGTTTTAATTCCCCTCGAATTCTTTTGTTAAGTATTCAATCATCATTCCTTATAATGTTAATATGCAAATCTAATTGTATGAATATTTTTAATTGTTTCAATCAATTTTTTTTAGGGATTGTGGAATGCATGTTGCAGCATACGCAGAGTTTCTGAGCTCTTGGAGAGATTCCCAAAAAACAACATTTGATTCCATCTACTCCGTCAAGATATGGTGCTCTCCTATGGGCCTATGCTATGCGCAAGATAGACGCTGATGCCATAAGCCGAGAATGAAGCACCTTCAAAGATTGCTAGGCAAATCACTGAGTCGGAGGCAAAGATGCAGATAGTGTTAGAATAGCTTTAGGTTATTGTAGTTTTGGAGTGTAGTTTTAAGAAGAAATACGGTTTGTGGTAGTTTTGTGGTGTAGATGCTATTTAGTTTGAAAAACTTATCACTTATAGCCAACAGTGTTCGTGTATGACAATTGCAACTTTTCAATGACTGTTTCACTTGTTTGTTCATAAGTATTCATGCTTATTCTTCAGTTTGAATACATATTTATCTTACAGGAGTCAAGTTGTATTAATACTAAGTAACTTTTCTTGAACAGGTTTTAGTTAATGAAACATGTTAATGTCAAAGTCAGAAAACTTTATGTATGCTGATGGTAGGTTATACAAAGAGAATCCAGCTGTATTCAGTTGTATTCAATTGTATTTAACTGTCAAATTCAATTGTATTCAGCTGCATTCATTCAGATATATCTTTCAAGTTCAGAAAATACATATTTAAAGAACACAATTTCAGATGTATTAAGCAGGTTGTACGGTAGTCAGTTGTATTCAGATGTACTCAGTTGTATTTAAGTATATTATTCAGCAGTAGTTAGTTGTATTTAAATGTTTATTCAGATGTATTCAGCTATTTTTTTGGTGTATTCATTTACAAAAGTGCTACTGAACTGTTTATTCATAAAAATACAGTTGTGTTTTTTAGTATTCAGCTATACTCAGTTACACACAAATATATACTTCATATATATTTATCTGTATAAAATACTTCAACTCATGTATTCAGAAAATATCAAGAAAGTCATTTCAAAATATATTACTTGACAAAGAGAATTTATTATAGCTGATAATGTCATCAAAAGTATTGACAAATCGTTGAGCACCAATACATGTCAGAGTGTTAACTATTTATTACGCGGAGCATTTCTACACGTTCGTTGTTATGTCCTTCCTGTCCAACTATGCTACATGAATGTTGATTTTTCGGCTGCAGCAATTCACTTAAAAGTTTTATCGCGCTTCTTCTTTGGCTTCCAGGAGGTCTTTTCCATTTGGGTGTAGTACAACCTCCCTCTGCAACATGTTCTGGTATATTCCAGTCATTTTTATCCGGTAGCGGGTACACTGGCACATCGTATGTCATTACAACTGTACTTGGTTTGTAATAGTTAGAGCAATATTCTTCTGGCATTAGAAATTTGCTCTTCAATACAACCCAAGCATGTGGGCGTGGCAATTCATCAATTTGGAACCTCCCACAAACACATTTTCTCTCTAACAGGCAGACTGTGTAATTCCTCCCACCATCGTTAACGGTATGTAAGTATTCACTTGATGGCACCACCTACATTTAAAAATAGAAATATAAGTTTTGAACACATTTACCTGAATTACCAAATGTATAATGCTGAATTAATAAGTTACATACAACTGAAACATTTGCATATATAAGAATACATCATATATTTAGACCAGCAAAATATCAACTGCAGAAGTGCAGAGCTTATCAAAAGTCTGATGTACTTTAGGCAACAGTATGCTAACAAAAGCATTAGAATCATACGTATTCACAATACATATAAAAATTACATATCATATAGCTAGTTGTATTTTGATGTATTCCAATTGTTTTTTCAGCATGTTTTTAGTTATATTCAGTTGTATTCATATCAGATCTATGGAAAAATATGTCTTTTATGTGCTTGAATATAGTTGTATTCATATATATTAATGGTAGTTCTACTTAAAAATGATTGTATTCAGTTGTATTCATGCCACTAATTCAGAAAATAACAAATATATACAGCAATGACAGTGTTCATGCCACTAATTCAGAAAAATATATTCAGTTGTATTATTGTTTACAAAAAATACAGCTCATATACAGACAAATATATATATACACTACTGAATTCCATTATAGTTATATGCGTTTAAACACAATGAATACAACTGAATACACTTGTATGTATATGCAAACACTTAATACCACAGTAGACAAAATAAGAAAATAATTAGAGCCACTGTTGTGTTTTTACACCAGTAAAATACATTTGAATACATGTATTTAAGGACCCTAAACAAACATATGTTTTCATCTGTGATCATCAGGACGAAATACACAAATACGCATAAATACAATAACGTTAAACAAACAACGCGAATCAATAATGGAAAATACAAAGCAAACAAAAATTTAAATACATGCAAACCTAACAGCATTAGACCGATTAACCCGGAATTGAAACCTTTGAGCTATAGCATAATTCTCCATCATCTCTTTCAAATCAGTATTCCCTCAATTGAAAAATCGATATAATTGCCCTCATCGTTCCACTTGCCAGAATGAAGCAACAAAACAGTTAAACTTGCCATATGTATAGAGCAACTATACCTTATTTTGTATATAATTTGTATCAATAGAAAAAAAGGAGAAGAGAATTGAAGAAGTTCGATCAGATGTTGCTCTGGTTTTTCCTTCTTTTCACGTTTCTGAGTTGCTTTCTTTGAGGAGAATACAGATTAATGTGTACTCGTTTTAGTTCTTTGAGTTAAATTAGGAGACTATCATGTGATTTGATTTCCTTCCGTTTTTAACAAGTTTAAGTTCCCAGAATTTGCGCAAAAACATTATTGTATTTCACATTAATTGCGCTTGAATACAGTTAAATACAGATAACACTTAGCTGGAGTTCCTTTTTTTACGCCTATTTTTTTTGTTGTATTAATGAATACAACAACTTAAATACATGAAATACATTGTACAAAAACATAAAAGGTATCTATAAAACGTAATATAGCAAAGGGTATCTATAAATGGCTAATTAGGACTAAAAGATGGTGCTTTATGAAAAATTCTCTTTATTTTATTGTTTATGACGGTTGTGTCCGAACCAGTTTGCGAGAACCTCAACTCTACCTCCCAATTTTAACTTCTTTCTTATTCACACTTCAATTTGAAATGCTTTGCATACCTCTAGGACAATCTCATTTGCGAAATAGAAATTAACTTGCAACTACTGAGTAGTCTAGTCAACACGGGTTATACAAAAGGGAGAAAAAGAACCACAGAGATGATAAAGATTTTAAAAAGGAGGAATCAACAATATACAGGTTTGGAAAACTCTAAAATCCCAACTAGTTAAGGCTGGTCATGTACTAATGTCTGTCCTATGGGCAGTGCAACAGTCCATGGTGCAAATTTTGAAGAATTCACGACTAGCCGACACGTGTAGTTAGAAGAGCTTGCCTGGTTGTTTAGCTCCACTTCTCATCATTGTACAAAATTCCTCATAATTGATTCTTCCATCCTGTAAATGTGACAGAATTAGCATGCGTCAAGGCAGGTTTGATTGTTTTGGATTGAATAACAGTAACAAAACTTACGTTATCAGCGTCTACTTCAGATATTATTTCCCTTATACTGGCTGCATCGCCTACTCCATGCTCTTCCATAGCCGTTTCAAGTTCATCTCTTGTTATGAACCTGCATTATACAAAAGAAACCCAATCGATTTAATAATTCCACAGGATTGATCAGGCACTGCTGAATTTGAACTAGACTTGCAGGACGGACTTACCCACTGCCATCTTTATCAAAATACTGAAATGCTTCGTATAGATTTTCCTCTCTTTCTAGTCTGTGTTTATGCATGGTGGCAGTGATGAACTCTATATAGTCAATAGAGCCATTTCCATCCACATCGGCCTAAAGTGCACAAGACATTAGTTATTTCATGGTACAAAAATTGAACAACAAAGTGAAGGAAAGAAACAGCTAATGTGTCTTGAGGAATTGTGTCTTACAGCTTCCATCAATTGCTTAACTTCAGCCTCGGTGAGCTTTGATCCAAGTCGAGCCAATCCACTCTTCAGTTCTTCATATGTGATAGTGCCGCTATTATCAGTGTCAATATTATGGAACATCGATTTGAGCCCCTGAATTTCTTCTGCTGACATATTTTCAGCAATGACCTGATCCCAAAACCATTTCAATCAGCAATGAACTAGTTTTAGGGTAAAGGAGGATACTCTTAGAAATGAATTTACACGAGCGAGTACATATGATATGCCACTCAGTATTAATTTTTGGATGCTTTTTGTAAAGAATCATATTCTTGAATTAGATTTTCTACTCTTGAATAAAACTAATCAAGGCAAAACTAAAAAGAGTGCTAAATTCCATCATTTTTGAAATATGATCACAGATTTATATCTAGAAGAACACCAACACACTATATTTACTAATTTCATCCCAAGAATATGATTCACAACATGGCTTACACTCTTATTGTAATCATGTTCTAAAAATTATTTGCTCGAAAGAAAGGGCAGGAAGAGTAAATGATAATAAGGATAAACCAGGGGCGGATGCATGTTATAGGGTATGGGTGCTTAAGCACCCATTACTTTTGGAGCCATACACTATTATTTATATAGAAAAATTAGTAATTCATACAAATATATTACTTGAGCACCCAGTCTTAAATGTAATTTTCAGATAAAAAAATAATTAAGCACCCACGATTTAAAAATCCTAGAATCCGCCACTGAGATAAACTGAAGGAGCATAATTTACTTCTTCTGTCTGATGTAACTAGAAAGGGAAGTTGTAAGCTTCTTTCTCTTATTCATCTAAAAATAATTGGGCCAATTTCCTCGATCTTATTTCTTCTTTCCTCTTCTTTAGGCAAATAAAACAAACAAGAGGTAAGTTTCAAATATGCCTGTACTCCTTTTCCCCCCTAGCGTTGAATTAGAGTGAAGGAATGAAATGGGTCAAATGGAGGATGTATGTAGTCAACACAAACTAGCTTAGGATTGGTGCATAATTGTCGTATTGAACTAGAAAATAAATCAGAGCTGAGAAAGTTTAAGCTTACCTTCAAAGCAAGTTTCTTGAGTTTGTTCATTGCTCTGAATTGCTTCATTCTTGAGAGGACAGCATTGTCTAATGGTTTATCTGATGCTACTCCGCCTACCTTGAGCCAAGGATGCTCTATCAACCAGCCACATCAAAAGCTTGGTTAGGAAATGAGTATGACATTCATATACACATGGTCTAAGTTAGTGTCAGTTTGAATACTTAACTAGAATAACAAAAAAGTTTATCTCTGTTGCAACAGTTGAGTTAAAGTATTACTTTGAAGTCTTATCCATAAAATAATGATTGAATCAAAGGTTTAAAACAAAGGGGAACAGGTCCTAATGTCCAATGAAGAAAAAAGATTTGAAAGCAGGTAAACCACGTCATTTCTTACCTTAAAACTAAAATAAAGATAGAGGTCAACGGATCCGGACTATTCTGAGCTGCAAACAGTATTTGTTACCTCAAAGAACTGACAAGCAATTTTTGTGTATTTCATGTTTATCCAGCCTTCTCATGTTTGGTGTTCCTATCTTTTAGGTTTCATATTCTTGACTGATGGATATAGCATCTGCTCTTTTTCTTTTCACCTCAGAAAAGAAAAAGGTTTACACAAGTAATTGGCTCGGCAGGTATCTGATTCCATCAAACTGAATTAGCTTTTCTCCTATTGCAGGAAAAATCTCCGAGGCTTCATGTGGATTCAAGCAAGTTGTCTAGCTATAAGTTTCAAACTCTAGAAAGGATTTGAAATTAATGATAGTGGTACAGATATTTTTATTAACTGTCACATGTGATATTGTTTGACAAACAGAAGAAGGTTCTCCAAGTGCAGTATAAGAATGACAAGAATATTGCTTCAGCCATAAGCCAACAACCCATTGCTTTGCATCACACCGTCGTTTTAAGTAATGAAGCAATGGATTTTGATAAAAAACCATTCACAAAACCTATTTGGTTATCAACAAAGAGTTAATTATGAAGTGATACGATCAGTAAGCTGTAACGACAAAGTCAAACACAATAAGATCTATGCAACATCACCATGTATAGAAGCTAAAATTCCATCTTTTGAGGATTCAATAGAAACCAAAAGTGGATAACCATACTACTTAATCCTGAACCATTACCACTATTAAAGTCAATGAGTTATTTTACGCGTACCAAGAACTTGAGCAGCAGAAATGCGTTTCTTTGGGTCTTTGGTGAGCATCTTTCGGACCAGGTCCTTGGCACTACTTGTTATAGAGGGCCAAGGTTGACTTTCAAAGTCAATGTCTTCTTTTAATATGGCATCAAATATACCCCTCTCCGTTTCTGCATTATAGAATATAGAAACCAATAAATACAGGAAGGCCTAGATAATTTATTCAGATAATATTCAGAAGGGAGCATTTGACTTTACCTGCCCAAAAGGGAGGCACACCACTAAGTAGTATATACAACATAACACCTGCACTCCAAACATCTATTTCCTTGCCATAATTCTTTCGTAAGACTTCAGGGGCAACATAGTAAGCACTCCCAACTATATCCTTGTACACCTTACCTGCAAGGAATTCCATTATTTGATTACAACTCAAACAAACTAAGAGAAGAGGTAGCATCAGTAAGGAGGAGTAGAAAAATCATGCAAACGATGCTAGGTTCTGCAAGTTCAAAAAGTTGTACAAAGAGAAGGAGATTATCTCAATCTAAGTAATGAGCGATCATCTTATAAGATTAGCAAATTTTGTATAGTGGAAAGTTTGGTTCATAAAAGTCCAAACAGGCCTAACACAATTTGACCTTCCTAAGCAAGAGGGAGGAGAGTCTAACCAGGCTACAAAAATACAAATAAATTTACATGCCAACTTGAACAGAGTCGAGACATGAATAACAAATTCTAGGAACCAAGTTTAAAGGGAAATTAAAATAAGCAAAATCCTTTATCATGCTGAATCGGTAACAGATTTTGTTGCAATTTCTTTTACATCAAAAAGTGAGGTCTTTTTGGCACAGACAATTCGATTAGCATGTTAATGATGTGAACATCGCCTGATTCTAATCAGATAAAGTCCTATGCTTTAAACTTAACAATCAGGATCTTAGCTACATAAATACAATAACATTTCGTATGTAGGTATGAGGCTACCAGCACTGGGATTACCATAAAAGAAACTCATCCAAAAGTTGCTATATTAAACAAATTACAGCACACAGCAGAAATACCTTCTTGAATGAACATGGACAGCCCAAAATCAGTTGCCTTCAAAGCAGCATTTTCACTCTTATCTGTCAACAAAAAGTTCTCGGGCTTAAGGTCGCGGTGCATCACACCCATAAAATGGCAAACATGGACAACATTAACAATAGCTCTACACATTGAAGCAGCAGCTCTTTCAGTATAATGACCCTTAGCAATAATCCTATCAAATAGCTCTCCACCACCACACAACTCCATCACAAGACTCACTGAATTCTTATCCTCGTAAGCACCTTTAAATTCAACAATATTTGGCTGTCCACTCAAATGCTGCATAATCTGAATCTCTCTCCTCATATCTTCCTTATCAGATTTTGTAACAAGTTTCTTCTTTGATATTGACTTGCAAGCATATTGATGACCAGTTGCTATTTCAGTACAAAGAAATGTAACTCCAAATTGACCTCTACCCAATTCTTTTCCTAATGTATAGTGTGCTTTAACATCCTCAAATGGTTTCCCCAAAATGGTTTCTTGCTTCAAAACTGGTTTTGGACTTGCTGATGGTCTCATAGGCAATTGAGATTCTGGACCTGGAGATTTTGTATACTGAATTTGAGTTTGATGGGGTCCACCACTACCTCCTCCTGATCTATGGTGCCCATTGGACTTGGATTCTGCTGGTTTTGTTTTGCTCAAACAGATACCCATTTTATATCTTTATTCTGATTGAGGAAGCAGATCCAGTAAATAGGAACTGATGAACAGAAACAGAAGATTTATAGAATAAGGACAAGAACTACAGATGGATATTCAGGAATATTAGAATCTAAGTTGAAGATATATAACTAAAGACACCAGTAAAGCATGGCAAATGGCATAAAGTTTGGATCTTCTTTCTCAAGAAAGACTTAAGGAATTACTTATCCAAAATAAAAGAGAGATTTTGAGGAATTGTTCAAGATTCTTGATTTATATTGTAAGAATAGGAAATGGAGGGAGTTGGATTTAAGAGAGTAACAATGAGAGAGAAGAATCTGAAATCTTGGACAAAGGTACAAAAAATGAGGAGACTATTTTTGGTGGGTTGTTAGAGCCAATAATAATAATAATAACAACAACATTAAGTCCTTAATAATCAGCTTAATTAGAAGGGGGAGGGATTTCTTTTATACGGTCAGACCTATCTATAATAACATCTCTATATAACAACCATTCATTATAAAAGCCAAGTTTTTTCGAAATTGATTTTTATGTTATAATTTATGTCCTTTATAACAACACCTCACTATAGCAGTCAAAAAATATCGGAATAAACGAGGTTGTTATAGAAAGGATTGACCGTACTTTCTTCTCTCATTTTATATGATGTTATTTTATTTTGGATATAAAAGTTTTAAAATAAAAATGAATTCCAAAATTTCTAATTTACAATAAACCATTAAAATTTATGTAATTATAAATCAATTCACTAAAAATATAAAAAAATTAAAAAGGAAAACATCTGAGACAGGAAATACTAAACAAGTTTGGGGTAGGTAAGGCGGGAGCTGTCTGTGTGGGCCTACTTGTGCACTAGGTCAATGTGCCATAGCTTATTCATTAATCATGTTTAATCCTTTCTTAAACGCCTGTATCTCTATAATATGTTCTATACTGCAACTGAACTTTACTATATTCTCTCAGAGTCATCATTAATCTATAAACAACAGATGTTAATAATAGAGCAAAAGTAATCTCAAGGAATTAAAAAGTGATAATGGAATATTAGATTTTGAGACCTCTGCATTGTATCAATCTTATCTTTTTGAAGAACAGAATAGAATATTCGAAGTAGATGTAAGGGTGATGTTGTTAGATAAAATGGTTGGAATCAACCAATAAAAGAGAAAAAGAAAGAGATTAGGATATAATTAGGGGAACCCATATAACTATTATGTAAAAGAAAGAGAAGCAATGTGAATTGAATGGGTTGAGACCCCACTGCTCCACTCCAATTACCAACTTACAGATAAGAGCACGTTGTGCACATTAAGTTTTGCCTGAATAACGACACGCATTATAGCCACATTCACTAATTACTCTATCGGTTACCAATATAGTAATAATTTTTGATTGAACATAAAGTTTAAAAAAACAAAATATTCTTAAAATTTGTGATTTTTAACATGTCATATTATTACAAGGCTTATAACTTGAAAGTACCAACAGTAGTCTCTCATGCCTATGTTGTGCTGACTCTTTAAAAATATTGCTGTACCCGTATCAAATCCTTCAAAACTACACTATTTTTGAAAGATCCTACACGAAATCTGACCATATTTTTGCAAAATCCAAGCAACATAGTCCCATGCAATACATGTGAGTTCAATTCTCATTATTAATCACATCCTCTTTCCCTTCTCTGGACTTACTATGTAAAAAACAAAAAATTATATTACTAAAGATAATACGGAAAGGTTAGAATTAAATTATTTTAAATATAAAAAGGTGTTAATATCTGTTCGATGGAAAACTTTTCATTTGTTTTTCATTTAGATTCGCGTATAAAAGGAAAAAAGTCCCGTCTCAAAAGGTATAAAAGGGAAAAAGCTCCTATCACACTTGAAACCTCTAATTCTATAAGTCAACTAAAAAAGAAGGGGAAAGAGTGACACAAGTATGAGTAAGTGATAATAACCATTAAAACGAAGTGGTGCAGTGAATGAGATTGCTCTTTCCTTAACTAGAGGTCTCGAGTTCGAGCCCTGGGTATGGAAAAATCTTTGGTATGGAGAGCTTCTCACCGAATGGGGCCCTACGCAGCGTGAATCCAGATATAATCAGGCTTCAATGTGCGAACCAAACATCGGGTGGGAAACAAAAAAAAAAAAAAAAAAGAGTCAGTGATTATGGCAAAGTAAGTAGCAGGTACCAAAAAATGAGTTAGTGATAATGGCAAAGTAAGTAGCAGGTAAGGTGATAATACATGGTCGCGCCGTATGGGGCGTCAACTCGTATAAGACACTTTTGCTTTTAAGACTTTGAGACGTGCAATAGACAATGCTTTACCTGTCTTTTTCCAACAATTTAGGCCTTGTGCATACCTGTCATTTTGTTATATACTCAATTGTTTGTTATTGCTAACTATATCTTTCATAGTATGTCATACTACAATTTCATCAACCAATCAATTAAAGCACCTTTAACGAATATTGACAAGTGAAATGTGAGTTAGTTTAGAGCCGAAAGCTTCATCTTGAATAATTAGCCGCAGAAACAACAGTTTAACTCGATAAATACGGGCCATAAAACGTGAAGAAAAACGCATTTATTAGTACTTGTAAGATAAGCATCTTGGTTGGTTAACCAGCTCAAAGAAATTTCAATCTGCTTACTACTCGAATTAGGTTTGATCAAAACACGATAAGCATATCTTGTTTTGGGATAAGGTCTAAATTTGTCCGTAGAAATGGCGTGGGGTAGCCACTGTTTAAGCTGGTATTTACTTTTTATCCAGCATTTTTAATGCTTAGCAATAGTAGCCACTAATCTATTAAAATTAATATGAAAAGACTGTGTTACCCTTTCTTCTATCTCTTTTCTCTCTGATCCTACGTATACAAATATCTACTTGCAACTTATTAAGACAACTTTTACACCATACAAGGTCTGGATTGATCGTATCCTGAAAGTAAGAAAGTGAGATATGGAGCAGAGTTAGTAGACCTTGAGCCACACTGGAGGAAATGAGTTACTAAGAGAAACAACTCTTAGAGGGACAGTCAAAGCATATGTCTTAGACTTACATTTCTCAAATGGTGCTTGAAGCTCTTCATCATCGTTATCTTCCACATTTTCCGATTTTCCAACTCTAGTGCCTATGTAATTCAAAGTCCATGGCACCAAGTAAAATAAGCAGTAAAAAATAAAGAGGGAGAGAGAGAAGAAGAAACTCTAGACGAGATCTTCATGCAACATTCATTAGTATCAATGATATCAAAAGCAATTAGGCAAATAATGACACTAGTTCAAGTTCAAAAGTTAAGTTCAATAGTTAAGGACACTAGTTCAGAAGTTAAGGACAGGCAGACCTTAACTTACAGTTACAAGTTCTAAAGTTAAGGATAAGCAGTCCTTAACTTATAGTTACAAGTACAAAAGTTAAGGACAGGCAGTCCTTAACTTATAGTTACAAGTTCAAAAGTTAAGGACAATAGGTCCATAACTTTGATTTCCAAGTTCAAAAGTTAAGGACAGACAGTCCTTAACTTTCAGTTACACGTTCAAAAGTTAAGGACAAGCAGTCCTTAACTTACAATTACAAGTTCAAAAGTTAAGGACAATAGGTCATTAACTTTGATTTACAAGTTCAAAAGTTAAGGACGCTTGGTCCTGAAGTTTGAGTTCCAACTTCAAAAGTTAAGGACATGTAGCCCTGAAGTCCTGAACTTAGAGTTACAAGTTCAAAAGTTAAGGACATGTGGTCCTAAAGTCCTGAACTTAGAGTTCCAAGTTCAAAAGTTAAGGACATGTAGTCCTGAAGTCCTGAAGTCCTGAAGTTAAGTACAAAAGTTAAGGACATGAGTAGAAGGGTATTTTCGTCCGGGCAGTTAAAGTTTATTAAAGCAGTGGCTAAAACTAAAGATATTTTAAACGGTGGCTTAAAAGTAAATACATGTGTTATTAGTGGCTAACCGTGCACTTCCCCCAATTTGTCCCTCTACTATAGTATATTGTTTTCATTTATCACTTGTTATACTTTTCGTCCATTTCAACCCTTACCGTTAACAAACTGTTCAGATTTGCCCCTAACCCTACACTGTGATAGTCAACCCCTCAAATTTTTCTCCATGCCAGCCGCCAAGTCACGTGACCCTTACAAAATTAACAAGTAAAAAACAAAACCTGAGGCGAAAAGCCGATGGTAATTCAAGAAAACTCAAAGTGCCCCAAAATGTATTTCAACACTAAAATTGAAGAAATATTTCTGCATAGAGCTGATTTTTCATTAATTAATTAAAAAAGGGTCAAACATATTTCTTTACTATCAAAAATTATTTAAATCTATCCTCCGTTATACTATCCGTTTAAAATTATCCTTGCTGTTATACTTTTAGATTAAAAAAGCCCCTGGGTCTAAGGGTTGAGACACTTGGCATGCTAGGAAGTAAAACCCAACCCAATTAAAATAGGGAGTTTTATAGTTTTACCCACAAAAACTAAACTAATTACCCTTGCCTACCCATTGGTTTTTCTACCCACCAAACTAATTACATTTCGTACCCATTATTGCTTTTATGGGTGATTGTTTTTTTTTTCTCATGTTCTTTTTATTTCTTTGTTTTTTCTTTTCTCCATTTATTTTTTCTTGTTTTCATTTTTTTTTTCTTTTTTTTTTCTATTCATGTATTTTTTTTCTAGAATCATGTTATTCTTTATTTTCTTTATTCACCATAATCTGGTTTTGTACTCAATTTGGCTCGTTTCTTTTCAATTTTTTAATTTTTTTCTTTCATTTTGTTTATTTTTTAATTTCGCGTTCCTTTTCTAATTCCATTCAACTTTTTTTTTAATTCTCCTTTTCCCCAATAGTGCTATTTTATGTCTTATGACACCTACTTTTTATACAATGAATATTATTTTCATGAAAATGCCATCAAAAAATTCATTTAAGAAAATATTTGCAAGGACCTAATTGGAAAAATTAAAAAAAGACTTATTTATTACGGTACACTATTATATTACATTGTATACTATAACAATATAATGTTACTATAACCATGACTTTAGCTTTGCATAATAGCACCTAGATAATTCAACAAATAGCAGTCGAAGTATACTATAATGGTATATTGCATATTATTACAGCATACCGTTATGGTACATTGCATATTATTACAGTATACCATTATAGTATATTGTATACTATAACAGTATACTGTTGCAGTATAGCTATATACTCCTATAGTATATTGTATATCGTAGCGGTATACTGTTAGGTAATTGTGTTCTTCTTCGATTATTACAATATACCATTGTAGTATATTATATATTATAATAGTATACTATTGTAGTATAGCTATATACTTCTACA